AGGGAACGAATTCTTCTCATTAGCACCAGAAAAGAAAAAAGGGGTGGTACTATACATAAATCCAAACCTAAATCCAAACCCCTTCGTTATTACTTTTACTGTTGTAATCACTAGAAAATATTGCACAATAAAAATCATTGCAAAAAAAAGAAAAAGAAAAAAAAGAATGTCAGGCTAAATGGTCGGTCCCCACACATTTCCACCTTACTAAATCTGGGCCTCTTCAAAAAAAGTTCGGACACCCCTGGCCAAATTTTCCTTTAATTTCCAAAGGCTGTTGCAGAGCTACTGTCAATTAAAACAGACAGTAGAACAGGCAGAAGAGAAGACTGATGAATGGATTTGCTTTGACATTAAGATATTCCAGTCTCAGACTAGTTTTGACCTGTGTGGCTGATCTCGAAGCGCAATGGCAACAAGTATTTGCAAAAGGGCTCACCTTTGGGAGCAGGAGTGCCATGTGCTGCTTTCTGTTGGGAGGATCGTGGCCAATCCATTTGAGGATGGCCTCAAAGACAGCGTCTTCCTGCTTCACGTTGAGTTCGTCCTTCTCAATGATGTCTTTAAACTCATTGACCGAGAGCTCCAGGAATTCGGTCGACGCTTTCACCATCTCCTCGAAGTTGTGGAGGATGAACATGTAGGCTGCTTGCCGCAGCTCCGGGCAATAATAGTACTCTGTGAATTTGCAGATGCCAATGCAGTTCTCCAGGCACAGCTGGCATTTCATGAAGTCGGAGCAAGCCCTGACGATGCCCATCACGTTAAACTGGTCGGCCGCCACCAGAAGCCTCTCCACATTGTCCACAGTGATGGGGACTGTCCTTGTGTAGGCATATTCGATAATGAGCTTCATCATGTCTGGAGTAATGCCGGGGATATTATACACTCTCTTCTCTGAGTTGTTCCAGCTACTGGTGAACAGAGCTCTGAAAAAAAAAGAACATTGGTCTTTTATACCTTAGGGAATCCTGTCCTTCAAAAGGATATTGCTGGGTTTGCTAAGCTTCTCCAGCTGAGTCAAAAACCACAATAATACACTTTTTGGCGATCATCATTATATTAGAACTCATGCACTCACATTCCCATAGAAGTAGTTCTTATCATCCATATCCTGCAGGATTACTTCCATAGCAATGCTTTCCAGACAGTGCATATCATCTGGAAAGCCTGCCATGATTCAGGTGTGTGGTAACACAAATGGATGTGGTGGAAGGAGCCCATTTCTTTTGGTATGTTGACATGGCATGGATGCAAAAATGGAGTTTGCAGAAACTCAGTGGTATCTCAGAAGATGTCACTGAGTATCAAAGCACAACAGGCTAAACTGCTGTGCTGCAGAAAAATCCTGCCAATCTAAAGGTCAGCAGTTCAAACCTGGGTTGGGGTTGAGCACCCGCCATTATCCCCTGCTCACCTGCCCACCTAGCAGGTCAAAAGCAGAAATGTGAGTAGATAAATAGGTGCCGCTTTTAGAGGGGAGGTAATAAAGGCACCCTTAAGGACATCGATTGATTGGAGGAAGCTCCTCAGCATGGAAAATGGAGCGATAGCACCCCCCCCCCCCCCCCCATTTTATAAAACAAGTCCTGAAGTTGACATGTTTCATGGGCCAACTTCGGCCCTCCCTCAAGGTGTTTTGGACTTCAACTCTCACCATTCCTAACAGTGACCGGAGTCGAGGATTGCTTCCAAGATGCCAGAAATAAGATGGGAACAACTGCCTTTAACTCTGTTTGTGTTTGTTTGTCCTTGTTAAGTGTACAATTGGCATTGAATGTTTGCTGTATGTGTGTACCCTGTAAGCTGCTCTGAGTCCTCTTCGGGGTGAGAAGGGTGGGGTATAAATATTGTAAATAAATAGGGTTGTTGCAGATTTTTCAGGCTGTATGGCCATGTTCTAGAAGCATTATTTCCTGATGTTTCGCCTGCATCTATGGCAGGCATCCTCAGAGGTTGTGAGATCTGTTGGAAATTAGGAAAATTTGGTTTATATATCTGTGGAAACTCCAGGGTGTGAGAAAGAACTCTTGTCTGCTGGAGTTAGGTGTGAAATTTTCAGTTGGCCACCTTGATTAGCATTTGATGGCCTGACAGTTTTTTAGTGTGCCTTATTACTGCCTGGGGGAATTCCTCACCTAGCTCCAGCAGACAAGAGTTCTTTCTCCCACCCTGGATTTTCCAGATATATAAACCCAATTTTCCTAGTTTCCAACAGACCTCACAACTTCTGAGGATGCTGCCATAGATTCAGGCGAGGGTCGAAGTTGGCCCATGCCGGCTCGATACAATTTTCCTTGCCCTCGATGATTTACTAGATACGCGTCAAGATTTCATTTACTAACACTAATACGGGTGCCTGACCCCTTCCTCTCTCCTTACCATACATACCCTTTGGGAAAAATATTTGGAAATGACTCATAGAAAAAAGACCTGAAATAGGAGCTGCAGCTACAGAGGATGTTCTTGTGGGCGTTGAACTCGCACCCGTTGACTTTGATGATCACGTCGCAGAGCTTCCCTTCCAGGCGCAGCTCGTTGAAGACGGTACAAGCCATGGCGCTCATCTTCCTCTCCATGTGGCGGTGGGAGTACCCCGCCGAAGCAGAGGTGTCATCCATTTCGTTCCCAAGGGGCGTGTGCGCTTGTGGGGTGGGAGGCAGCGCAGTGCTGCCAGGCCGTCCACTTCACCCTCCTCTTGGAAAAAGGGTGTCATTGGTCGAGGGGGTTCCAGAACCCTCCCATAATGAGGACCCTGACATGACTGGGTTCTAGAACCTGGGCTCTCCTCCGATGGCCCGGCTTATGTCTGGCTGCAGTATGCAAGGTTGGGTGGCTTTTCCTCACGCGCATGTTGCTGATTCTTCACGACAGCTTGGATCCACACATCTCAAGATGATAGCATCGGAATATCTTTTTTTCTGTGACTGCTCTAATTTATGCTCCTATTGACCCAGTACAAAAATACAAGGGCAATGAATTCAATGAAGACAGAAGGCAGTTCCTTTGTTATGTTTCTTTTCTCTATGCCTATCGGGATAAGTTAGATCAGCTGCTTTTGTGGCGCAGGGGCAATAATCTGGTTCTTAACATTATTATTATAATACTAGCTGTACCCGCCACGCGTAGCTATGGCCAACCTTCTCTCCTTCCTTCCTTTTTTCCTTTCGTTCTCTCCATCCTTCCTTCTCTTCCCTTTCTTCCCCCCTTTTTCTATCCCTTCCTCTTTCTCCCCTTCCTTCCTTCCCTACCTATTCTTGGGACTGCAATTCCCAGCAATCCTCCTGATTGATTGATTGATCGATCGACCTCCCTCTCTCCCTCTATCTAATCTATCTATCAGGAGGATTGCTGGGAGTTGCAGTCCAGGAATAGGAAATATGCAGGGATTGAGATGCTTTGAAAGAAATCCAAGGAGAAGAAAGCTTGCAGCTTGGAAGCAGTGCATTTGGATCATTCTACTCTCCTAAAAGGCCTGGTCTAGGGGATGCTGGGAGCTGCAGTCCGGAAGAAAGTGTGGATATGCTATTGTGTGTTTTGTTTGCCAGGGGGAGTCATTTTGCACCTGTATTGTAGCTTCTTTTTCCTTTTTTGGCTTTTTAAGTCCCTTCCACTGTGTTTTTCAGTGTTTTTATGAGTGATGGTCACTTGTCGGCCTGATAGGTGTATTGTGTCAAAATTTTGTGTCAATTCATCCAGTGGTTTTTGAGTTATGTTAATCCCACAAACGAACATTACATTTTTATTTATATAGATTAATTGATATCCCACTTTATATCCCCTGAAGGGGACTCAAAGTGGCTTAACGTAAAAGTATCAGCAGAAGGCCAAGGAGCTCATAGTGGACTATAGGAAGAACAGACCAGAAATCATAAATAGAGGCCTAAGCGGAGCAGGTGGCAATTTCTACATTCCTGGATGTCACTGAGAAGGAGATCTCATATATGGCAGAGTTCATACAGCAGCGTTAGTGAAGATGGCTCAACTGAGACTGCACTGTTTGAGACTCCTAAATAACCAACAAATGAATGAAAAGGGCTGGTGACTTTCTATTGCTGTGCTAGAGAGTGTGTCCTAACCTACTGCATCTGTGCATGGTTTGGTAACTGCACAGTGGCAGATAGGAAGGCACTCCAAAGGGTCACCACTTCTGCACAATCATTGGTTGCCATCTCCTCGCTTTGGAAGACCTTTATAGGTCCCACAGTCTTAACAAAGCTCAGATCATGCTTGGGGATCTATCTCACCTGGCATATTCTTTTTTAAAAAATTATTATCATCCGGCAGACGGTACAGGGTGACAACAGGAAGGGCAAACAGACTGAAGGATAGCATTTATCCTAGAGATGTAGCTATGTTGAACTTCATGGCTTTGCATTGATGTGGCATTGTGGGCTGTGTGGTGGTGGTTCGGGTGTGGATGGAAGGCTGTGGTGTTTTGTGGTGTGTGCTGGGGAAAGCATTTAATTTCATTGTACAATATACAATGAAAATAAAGTTACTCTATTCTATTCTGTTCTATATTTTCTCTGTCAACATTGGCACAACTGATGGTGCCAGTTATGGAAACTGGGAAAAGAACCTAACAAATCCTGTATGTTGCAGTTTATCAACCAAATCTATAATTAAAGTTAACATTTTTCACCTAACAAAACTAAAGACTCTGGAAAACAACTGTCATTGAAACACAATTTCATTAATCTAAAATGGATTAGGGCCGCAGTGGCGCAGAGGGTTAAACCGCTAAGCTGCAGGACTTGCTGATCAGAAGGTCAGCGGTTTGAATCTGTGGGACAGGGTGAGCTCCTGTTGTTAGCCCCAGTTTCTGCCAACCTAGCAGTTCAAAAACATGCAAATGTGAGTAGCTCAATAGGCACCGCTTTGGCAAGAAGGTATCGGCACTCCATGCAATCATGCTGGGCACATGTCCTTGGAGGTGGACAACGCCAGCTCTTTAGCTTAGAAATGGAGATGAGCACCAACCCCCAGAGTTGGACTTGACTAGATTTAATGTCAAGGGGAAACCTTTACCTTTACTTTAAAGTGAACTAGTGTAGTTGGTACCCAGATTACAGGATACTGTCTCTAGCAAGGTCCCACTAGTCTCTGCTTTGACCTTTCTTCAATGACAAGTAATATTTTTCTCAATTTTTATTATTTCTGTTTGAGGTTTATTTTAATTGTTAGTAACAGATCCATCTGAACGTAGAGTCTATGAAGATTTTGTTAGTTCTTGGTGGGAGGCAACCAACAAATACCAGGTACTGTAGGCTTGGTTTCAGAGGAAGGAAATGACAAACCCACCTCAGTGTATTCCTTCCCTAAGAAAACCCTATAAAATTCATGGGGTTACCATAAATCAACAACTTTAAGGTAAAAACAAACTAGGTTGCCTATTGTTGACTTTTTACTGTGTCTTCTTTAAGTTGGTAAGCAATTGCACAACTTTGACATTTCATATTTGATTTCCAATGTGCTGCCTAATTTTTAAAGCAATGGGTTAAATAAAGTAAATAACTGTATATCCTGCTGCCTGCAAAGGGCCATCACAGATGCCAGGTTTAAAGCACCAGTACTTAATAAAGCACACCAAGAATTCAGTGGCATAACAAGAAAGAAGAAAATGGCAGTAACTGGTTAAGAATTTTATGACATAATGGGAGATGTCCTATTATACCAAACAGAGGAAACTTGGGCATCATTTTTGCACTTCACCACTTTCAGGCTTTGGTCGGCAGAAAAGATGCATTGATCATTGGTGACAACCATTTGATGGCTACAGAATAGCCTACCTTCAATGTTATTCATGTATTTTTAGGCGCTTGTCTCTATAATATATTGCCTTCTCTGTTGAAATGCAATTCCCCTCAGTCAACAAGCTATCACATTTGATTGAGTGCTGAAAAATATTGTACAATGGGGTGAGACACCAGTACAAGGCTGTACAAATGAAATATGATTAACTTACAAGACTGTAAGTGATTCCGAAGTTGGAAAAAAAAGCCAAGAGGGTGTGCTGTCGAAGGCTTTCAGGACCGGAATCACTGAGTTGCTGAGAGTTTTCTGGGCTGTATGGCCATGTTCCAGAAGCATTCTTTCCTGACATTTAGCCCACATCTATGACAGGCATCCTCAGAGGTTGTGAGGTCTGTTGGAAACTAGTCAAGTGGGGTTTATATATCTGTGAAATAATGTCCAGGGTGGGAGAAGGAACTATTGTCTGTTTGAGGCAGGTGTTAATGTTGCAAATGGCCACCTTGATTAGCTTTGAATGGCCTTGCAGCTTCAAAGCCTGGCTGCTTCCTGCCTGGGGTATCCTTTGTTGGGCGGCGTTAGCTGGCCCTCATTGTTTCCTGTCTGGAATTCCCCATGGCGGACCACTAAATACAGCATTGCTCAAATACGAATCAAGGAACATGAAAGGCACTGCAGACTAATTCATCCAGATAAGTCAGCCATAGCAGAGCACCTGATGAACCAAGCTGGACACAGCATATTATTTGAGGATACAGAAATGCTGGACCACTCTTAACAACCACAATGTCAGACTACACAGAGATGCCACTGAAATCTACAAGCATGTGAGCAATTTCAACAGAAAAGAGAAAAAGAAATAAATTGAACAAAATCTGACTACTAGTATGAAAAACTCCAAAATCAGAACAGTAAATAAAGAGCAACACTCAGAAAACAGGGGAATTCCAGACAGGAAACAATCAGAGCCAGCTAACACCTCCCAACAAAGGATTCCCCCAGGCAGCAATCACCTAGGCTTTGAAGCTAGAAGGCTATTCAATGCTAATCAAGCTGACCAATTGCAACATTCACACTTGCCTCAAACAGGCAAGAGTTCTTTCTCCCACCCTGGATCTTATTCCAGATATATAAACATCACTTGCCTAGTTTCCAACAGACCTCATAACTTCTGAGGATGCCTGCCATAGATGTGGGTGAAAAATCAGGAGAGACTGCTTCTGGAACATGGCCATACAGACTGAAAACCCACTAAGGGGATGTATATCCATCTTATTCAGAGAACAGGAGGAACAAGAATATAATCCCACAAGGTAATGCCTATGTTGGCCCGCTGAAAACTGTATTAGTCTGAAGATGGGCAGATTCTTTCAACTTCCATGTTACAATAGAAAGAAAAAGGCTAAGATCATAATTGGTTGATATTAGTAAACCAAAAGCATTGCTAACTGGGCTCTTTAATTATAGTTTGACTTAATACTAAGACTAAAATACTATGTACACTTACCTGGGAGTAAATTCCATTGATTATGATGAGATATATTTGAAAGGACAAGTAATAGAATATTGCTACATAATTGTTTTCTCCTCGATCTGCAGAGGATCTTTTGATTGTCTTTAGGAACTCTTGCAATGTGTTTATTATATCAATCTCTTACTGAGCACAAAGTCATTAAAGAAAAAAAAATCTTTCCTCACTGACCAATATTTTTGTTCTGTATCCATGAACTGGAAATTATGGTTCTGCTCAGAATTACATTGCCAAACACAAGTGCATGTCTTTTTCTTTTGGAAAGAATGCAAATGCAGCTGCACAGTTCACTACTCAGAATCCAGGAACATCTATATTAAAAAAGTTTTGGAACTCCATACGAAATATCAAGCAGTAAAGTTTATTCTGTTCTTTTAATTCAGTATAAAAAATGGGTGAAAGCTCCCTGGGTGCCACCTTGACTTACTAAGAAGCCGGCTTATGTAGAAATGTGGTAACAAAAAAACTGTTTACAATGCAGTAAAAAAATAAATAAATAGAAAAAAGTGAGCAGGTGAGATTTTGCAAAAGAATCACCTGAGAATCAGAGGTTTCGCTATCTTTCAGGAAGTATTAATGCAAGCATCTTTCTCTTTTTAGCATCTGAACCAATAATTTCTCATGTGCCGCTATCTAGCACACCAAGAACAGTGAATTTGAATGCTTCCACAAATACAGGTTTTCAGTTCTCTTTTGCTTCCCAGCAGGCCGCATATGCCGCCAGGTGCTTCAGGTGTATTCGCAAAGGTGTCCGCATCCTGCTGGGCAGTGGGAGCTGGTCTCCAGCCATTTCATGATGTGCTGCAGGTGGCCCCCGTGGCTGCAGCCCTGGCACCACACAAACAAGCCTTTCACCACGTGGTGGCACACAGCGCACATGCTAGCACATTGCCGGCACCTGCGGGAGATGACCAGAGTGGACAGTCAACCAGGGAGAAAACAGGAAAGGCTGTCTTGCCTGATGAAGGCAGCTCTGAAGAGCCCAAAGACTCACTTAGGTGAGAAAGAAGACCCAAGTTTACTCAGGCATGGCCAAACTTCAGCCTTTTCTCCAGGTGTTTTGTACTTCAACTCCTACAATTCCGAACAGCTGGAAGGCTGTTAGGAATTGTGGGAGTTGAAGTCCAAAACACCTGGACGAAGGGCCGAAGTTTGCCCATGCGAGAGGTCTGGAGAGATGAGCTGACCCAAAGAGATGAGAGGGGGAAACAATAAATCGTTTGGGAACACAAGGAAATGTTTAGAAACAAATGAGAGAACACAATCATTGTTTGTAGAACAGGAAGAGACACAGAGCTGCTGAAACTGCAAGACTCTGAGAGGGAATATTACAGATGAGGGAAAATAAAGTTTTGATTTCTTGGCTTGTTTGCAGTAACTGAGACTATAAAACCCATGATTCAGAGACAGTCAAACGTGGGACTTTTCTGGATGCTTATCTTCTCTTGATTGTAACCACCCCTTAGTATTAGTTGAAAATAGCAACCTTCCAAGCCTTCATTATTTGTTTGTTAATGTATATATTTGCTAACCTGTATTGTATGTATATATTGATTGGCCAGTTTGACTGACCTCTTTGGTGTGGGAAGGGCTACGGACATGTGATTGTACTGAGCACGTTCAGACTCAAGACTCCACTTTGTTATCAGTATGCTTTTGGATTTCAATGGAAGCAGATGTCTTTTGGACTTATGCAGGAAAGGTTTACTGTATGTTTGCTTTGAAAAGTACAGTTATACACTTTGGACCTTCATAAGATGTATACTTAAAGACTTTGGACTATAGACTATTGATTAAGAATGATGCCCTGTGTTCTCAACACAGAAAAACTACATTCTATCTATAAATGTGCCTGTATGCTGAATTAATACAAGATGTTTATGAGTAAACAAGATATGTTACTTTTTAAAGAAGACATTGTTTTTGGTCTCTGTGTGTGTATTTTAAACTAAGAGGGTTCTAGGGAGAGACTATGTTTTGGGCAACTGCAATTTCAACTTCAAAGAAACATTTCAAAACTCTGCTACCTGTGTGTGTACACACACACACACACACACACAAAGTGGCATGCTTTGTCCCTGGCGGTTCAAAGACTTGGTTTATCAGTTTAACAGCAGTTACCTGTGTGCCATTATACAAATGCTTGTGAACATCACTTTTTTCAAAGGGTTGACTTCTGACAAGGTCATGCCTTTACTTGACTAGTTGTTTTCAAAAGGTGGTCTCCAGATGTTCATGGAGATTCACATTTGACAAAAGGGTATGACATCATTTTTTCTTTTCAAAAAGATTATGAATACCATTATTCCAAAAGTATTAAACTATGGTATTTTAATCTCCTCGATCCCTAGCCTATAATTGGAAAGTAAAAAGGACTAGAGATATATAACAGAGCACCGTGCTTCAACATGTGGACATGACTAGAATACTAGAAACACCAGCTGACTGCCTCAGAGCACATAAGTTCACATGTTTATGATTCCACAGTGCGCCATAAACTAAGACATCTCTTCACATTGACCTCACCTGTCACAAATCCATCCCTTGTTGCTCATGGGCCTCTTGCAATTGCTGCAGTTGATATGCAGGGTGGTGGAGGCCTGGTTGAGGCAGTTGATGGCTCTGCAGGTGCTCAGCTTGATGACTTCGTTGGAGATGTTCCACAGCTGGAAGCGCTGCAGCAGGTCGATGTAGGAAGTGTACCAATGTTCCTGTTCGGGTTTGAGACATGCACACAGTTGCACAACAGCCCCCAGAGATCGCTCTCAATCTTTCTTTAATAATTCCAGCTTTTCTCTAAAAACCAAAGTGTTAGAGCACCAAAGCAAGGAAAATCTATGCTGTAGAATGAACACAGTTTAACTATTTTGGTTCAATACTATGGAATCATGGGTTTGACAAGCGTGACAAGGCCTTGAACCTTCTCTGTCGAAGAATGCTGATACCTCACTGAACTACAAATCCCATGATTGCACAGCATTGCGCTGTGGCCATTAAATAAGGAGCTCCAAGTGCAGCTCTTGAAGCAGCTTCCCCTTTGGCTTTGGCTCAGCACTAAGCTTCCTGTATGACACAAATCTAGGTTTGGAGAGGTCATTTAGCCCGAAAAGGTGAGCATTAGATTTGAGTCAATACAGTAATAGCTGATCCCCACAGGATGTGTGTGTTGAGAGCTGTCCCTGCTGAGCCACAGCAGACAGAAGTACCTGTGCCTGGTCATCGATCTCCTTCCGGATGCGGTCCCCCAGCACAATAAGCACTGACACTGCCATCTGCACATCTCCCTGTTCGGCATAGAAGAGCAACATGTTGCGCACAACAGGGCTGAAGAAGTCGGCTGGCAGGCGGTTCTCATACAGGGAGTGAGAGATGGAAATGAGGGAGAACGACTCCACAGGCGTCAGGGACACTGTCTCAGCCTCATTGCCACTGACATGGGGGGAGTCCGCTTTGTCCTGCAGGTGGTCCAGCGTAGAAGGGTTGTCCACAATCTCATGGCGCAAAGGGAAGGCCTCCTGGGGAAGGATGTACTCTTGCTCCTCAGCTACAAAAGCACACGGATCCATAAGATCGAACGGAAAGACCTGACAAAACCCACCCAGTAAATAACGGGAAGGAAGGTGGTCTCTCAGTAAGACACTTACTGTGGGGATTCTCATGGTCCAACAGGTACAGATCGTCTTCATCTCCTTCCACATCCCCAAGAAGATAATCTGCAGGGACGTCGCTCCCTTCAGTTTCTTCATTCTCTAGAGAGAAAATAGAAAGGAAACAGAAATAGAAATGTGATAGAATCCTTCTGAATTGGTAAGAAGCATCCAGGCTTGATATGAGTGTCATCTGCACCTGCTGGATTCTAGGTATAGTTATGTGCTCCTTCTCCGTCCCTATCCTTACCATCATTATTGATCAAAGTAGAGGAAGAATCCATGAGGATATTTTCAGGACGTCCCTCTCCCTTGCTCCGTTCCAGCCTTGACTCGCTGCCTATTCCAGAGGAAATATCTTTCAGGTTAAAGCTGGAAGACAAACAAAAATATGTGTTAACTCTCTGGTAAAGTCAGGTGCACCTGTCCTTGTTCCCAGCTTCCTCTCTCTTCTCTCAGCCATATATCTACTTCTTACAACTTTGGATCATCAAGAAAACATAAATTCCATTTTCCCCACTGCTAATAAAACCACCTTATAATAATAACTTTATTTTTGTACACCGCCTCTATCTCCCAAAAGGGACTTGGGGTGGCTTACATATGACACAAGATGCTTAAAAACAATGCATTAAATAAACACACAGTACAATACAAAAAAGTAAACCAATAGCACATAAAAACAACAGTTTAAAACTCAGAACAACACCCAATAACATACAACGACAACTGCAGTAAGACATGGCCAAACTGTAAACTAGACAAGGGAATGGGATAGTGCAAATTGTAGCTAAGGATCAAGGGCATGGGATGAAAGTGCAGTGCCAAGTCATTAATTGTTACATATATGCATTAAAAGAAGGATAGTAACAGGCTTGTTTTGTGCTGCCCTGGAGACTAGGACACGGAACAATTGCTTCAAACTACAGGAAAGAAGATTCCACCTGAACATTAGGAAGAACTTCCTGACTGTGAGAGCTGTTCAGCAGTGGAACTCTCTGCCTCAGAGTGTGGTGGAGGCTTTTAAACAGAGGTTGGATGGCCATCTGTCCGGGGTATTTTGAATGTGATTTTCCTGCTTCTTGGTAGAATGGGGGTGGATTGGATGGCCCACGAGGTCTCTTCCAAATCTAAGATTCTATGATGGGTTTGGCCACAATTCCCATCATCATGATCAGCCTGCACTTCTGGACAACAGCTTAGGGAGGGCTGGTATCAACTGCATTTCACATCTCATAAACACGTCACATTCAAAAATGAAGAACTCTTCCTTGCGCCCCCTCTCTTTACCTATTCATGAGTGGGAGATTGGAGCTACTCTTTCCTATGCTGTGGTTTAAGTTTGTGGTAGACACCGCACTAGGGCTGGAGTAAATAACTCGGAGCATTGTCCATGTCTGAGCCACCTGGCAAAGGAAGAGAAAACAGAAAGAGTAAAGATATACAACTCAAGGTGAAAAATCACGGGTTAGTAACCAACATAAAACTATCTGAAACCCTCTGTAAAACAGCAGAGATGGGCTAGACCAGGCATGAGCCAACTTTGGCCCTCCCTCCAGGTGTTTTGGATTTCCAACTCCCACAATTAGGAATTAGG